CCGATTGCCGAAATTCAAATTGCGTTTTTCATGTCTCGAAAGCGCGACTTAGGATTATATTAGATTTATACATAGCATTGTTCTAATATATAGGTATTTTGACACAAAAATCCGACTTTTTCTGAAATAACATACCAATTTTTTTTCCATATTTCGATTCTACGACTAAAATTACGCCAAACTACCAAGTTTTGCTAAAAAACCAAGTTTTGTAAAATAGTTTTTAAAAAATTAGCTCTCAAAATTTTAGCTCCTCAATATTAATTGAATTTGGTAATATATTTATTAATCTCTCTTTTTTGTATTAAACTTATTTGATTCTTCCTTTCCCATTTCGAAATTTAGGTTTCATTCCAAATTAAATTCAACCGATTTGTTTTTTAAAATTTGTATTGTTAAATCATTTTTATAAATTTTTCAAAAAAATTTTTGAATTATAATCTATAAAATTTTTACCATCATCTTAAAGTAGACATATTTCTAAGCATAAAAAATTACAGTTTTTTTATTTAAAATTTCCAAAGATATACGTAGATTTATATATTGGCGGGTTTTGAAATTTGGCATATTTGTAGAAAGCGATAAAACATCAAATGTGGTTTAGACACTTTGCTAAAATTATTTGAAAGTAAAAATGTCACTTTTTTTCCGCTCATGCACAATGTAAAAAGGTAGGAACGAGGTTCCTTTTTTTCTGCTCCGGTACAAGCCAAAATAACAAGTCAAAGAACTGCACATACTCTGTGTCCATGTACCGCCAAAAGTTGCCAAGAGGCACCCGTAAATACATTTTTAACATATTTTGATCATGCTCTGAAAAAACTTTACTTGATAAAATTTAGTCAACATGTGCAGTAAATATAAATTTAAAAATATGAAACATAAACAGCATAATCCAAGAAAACTAGCCAGTTAACAATTTATGATGTTAAAAAAAATTTTCTTTTGCCATGATCATGTGCAATTTATGAATTTTACAAGATCAGTGTATTATTAGTATTTATTTTAAGACATGAAAAATTTCACTCAGGATAAAGACTTGAATTCAGCCAATATCTGATGCCAGCACTTTTCAATTTCTTAAGTGAAATCGTAATTTTAGCCACAGTGCAATTAAGCTACAAATCAGACAAATTCCATTGTACACTAGAATTGCAATATTAACAGAAAATTTTAATGCAACATTTTATTTCGTAAAAGGGATATTGGTACTAGAAACGAAATGAATGACTGAATTTCCATGTGAAGATCAAAATGTGTGGGAAAACATCAACAGCTGTTCATGTAACATACAAACACATTATGTATGTTACATGAACAATACCCTGAAACTAAATGGACTAGACCAGCAGTTGTCAACCTTTTGTCTACGCGTACCATCTAAACAAAAATTGAAACCTTTAGTACCACCACTACAAATTACTACTACCACCATCACTCTTAAACAAAGCTCGGATCGCATAAATTTACAAGTGTTAGAGAAAAAACTCAATCAGGATGTTGGGGTTTTAATTTTTGAATTTAATAGTTAAAAATACTTTGCTTCTTTGCGTACCACCTATTTTTTCTCATGCGTACCACGAGTTGAGAACCCCTGGACGGGAGTATACACTGATGACTCTAAAATACAATATTGGGGGGGGGGTGCATACAGCAAACTATTTTCCTAATGTACTCCTGTGGGACACTTCATGTCGAATTTTGATGCAGAGATCCTTGCAATCTCACTAGCTCTGGAAAATCTCAAGATAAGGATAAATTGTTTCTCTAAACAGTTATTCCAGTCTATTCCAAAGCAGCCATTTAGGCTGTCGTTATAAAACCATGACACATATATCCAAATTATCTCAGAAATAAGACAAACCTTGAACTTTCTTTATAAATACAACAAAGCAATCATTCTTCAATGGATCCCTTTACATGTAAGTATCAATAGTAAAGAAAACGTATACTCACTTAGCCAAGAGTAAGCACTTGTGCTCCAAGACAGGAAACCACTTCCTTCGGGGTCACTTAAGAAGCATATTTTTTAGAAATTAATGGATACGCTTACAGCTGACCAGGCAGCAAAATCAACAGGCAAATTCGGTGAATCTTTACATTATGGTGACTATTTTGGCGACAATTTGGCAACCAACCCTGCTACAGCAACCTGCTAGTTTTGTTTTGGACGCCATTTTGTTGTTTCCACAAAGTAAAGGTTTTTTTTTTTTTTTTTTTTTTTTTACTCAACATTTTTTCCAACAATCTGCTAGCCGAATTACGCTTATACTAGAACTTTTATGGAACAAAAATGCTTAATCATGACGAAGATTAGGTGTGAAATTGGGAGAAAGTGCAGTCGCAAACTGCTTGCCGCGTTTTTAAGAATTGCACATACGCGGTATCCATGTACACGTCGACCTAGTTTCACTTAAAAAAAAATCCCAGAATTGCACAAAAAAGGCATTGCGTGCAGTCTTGACTTTATCTATGTACACATCGACCTATTTTCACTTAAAAAGGTCAAAGAAAATTGACAAAAATCCAATTTTTCTTACTCTTGTAAAAGGTGCCAAACAAATAAGTAGGCGATTCTGCCATTTAGCAGCGAAATTGTTTCTAAGTGCTTATTAGCTAAAAGCCCGATTGGAATTTTCGGGAAAATGTCACATTACATGTCTCATGATTTCTCATTTCTTCGAGACAAAATAATCTGTGATTCGAACTGTGTACTTCTCAGATTATTGCTAAAGTCCTAGCTAGTAACCTTTATCGCCTTACCAAAATGTCGCCAAACTACCTGTTACCATATTCCAAAGATTAGCTGCAAATTCTGTGCTAACATTCGAGAATATATCGTAGTGTGAATTCAAATATGTTGTAGTGCGATATGCATCAGTAAAAAAAACTACTGTACTATTCGGTTTCGAGGACCGTAAAAAATCGCCAAACTACTGTTGATGCCAAAGCTGCCAAAAATAAGTGCGGCAACCCTAATACTTGCGGCAAGAAAGAAAGTATATAGTAAATAACTATCTAAGATTGATGTTTTAATTTAGATGAAAGGTTAATTTCATATAATATTTTTTATTATTATAATTTATATGAAAAAGGCTAAACATGACTGAATGGAAGCAGAAGAGTAATTAACTGTTTCAGATAATTATTATAATTTATATAAAATTTCTAAAACATAACTGTAAGGATGCCTGCATCGCATTTTCGCTACCGACTTATCGCTAAAGTATAATTTCATCTCATTGGTTCTTCAAACGTAATTTTCTATAATGAACGATGGCCTTTTCTTTGAAAATATTCTCGATAAAGTGCAGAATTGCTCACTTATTTTGTTTGCCGCTTTTTACAAGATTAAAAACAATTAATTTTTTTCCAATTTTCTTTTACTTTTTAAGTGAAATAGGTCGATGTGTACATAGATAAAGTCAAGGTGTGCGCAGTGCCATTTTTTTGTGCATTCTAGGATTTTCTTTTAAGTGAAAATAAGTCGATGTGTACATGGATACCGAGTATGTGGCACTTCTTAAAAACGCGTCAAGCATTGGGTGATTCTGCACTTTAACCTAAAATTCTATTGCCGACTTTTTGTCATGGGCAATTCCAAATTTTTAATCCATAGGATATCAAAAACGATTAAAATTAAACTATATTTCATCGGGTCTAAGAATATGGAACTATAAACTTACGCAATCTGAAATCAGCGCGTACGCTAGATTTGGTGCGCTGTTAAATGGGCGCGTTTGCTAGATTTGGCGCTTATGCACGTACATTTTCGCTGCAATTTTTTACTGTCCTCGAAACCGAATAGTACCAAAACTACATTATGACTCCAGGATATATATCTGTTCTCAAACTTTAGAAAAAATTTCCATATTTCAGACCTTAAAATATGATGAATTTAAATTTTTTATTGTGTGTATTTCAATATTTTACATGCTGTGCTATATTTATCAATATGCTTTAGTACACCTAACTTTTGAATATATATAGTTCTAGCTTCCATTCTTTTTGCTTTTAATTTGGGATTGAGCAGCAAGCCTTTTCTGAAAACTCAGGATACGGTTCTTTTTTTCTTGGGGGGGGGGGTGTTTACTATTGATCTATTTTAACTTGAAAAATCTAAAAAAAAAGAGAGAGAGAGAATTTCACTTATTTAGAGAAAACTATTATCAATCACCTAAGAACAGTTCAAAACTACTTTCAAGCTGCAAAATTTCTATAATAATACAACACTGGAGATAAACAAAAGGTAGCCAAATGTATCATTTTATGTGCACTTTAATAATTAAAATAAATCCGAGCAATATTTACATTTTTACAGCCACCAGTTCAGCTATCTGCTTTAAAAATCTCTTCAAAACAGCCCTTTTGCTTTCCTTTTAAATATCTTCGCCAAAACAATTTCCCAAGACAGCTCAGACAATTTGATCATTTGTTAAATACAACTTAATGGTGTGCACATTTCTCTACACTCTATTACTAATAGGCAAAATGCCATATTTATGAAAAAATGCAATAGGCAAACTCTACAGTTGCGTTTTGATTCATTACAAGAAAAAGAGCTATATACACAAGAAGCTATAATCACAAGAAGAAATTTAAAACATAAACCTCAGAATTCGAAAATCACATGCATTTAAAAGGTTACCAGATAAAACGCATTTACTTAAAATTCTGGGTTGTTGAGTAACAATGCTCTTCCTGTTGATTCTTACACAGCTGGGGAGTAAATGCGATAGTAACCATATTTCTCACAGATGCTATTTTGGAAAGTGTCAGTCTTTTACTCATTGAATAAATTTATATTTAAACTCAAATTAACTTTGATAATTATTAGAGCAATTGCATTATAATAACTTTTTTTTTCCCCCTCCCAAGAATTGCCTTCGGTGATTCTTTATATTATTAATTAATACATCTGCAATAAATAGCTCAAACTGCAGTATATTCAATAAGTGATATACCTAAATATATGAATGAATCTTAATGATGATACTTACATTAGGATCAATGCTAAGTTTTAATTTCTTCTGAGCTACAGTTTTCTGTATCCTCTTATTGTAACTGGCATTTCCAGCTGGTTGTGTACATCTTTCACCTTCATCGAGAAGACAGCAAACTTGATTGTGGCAGCCAGGTGTTTCCTCTTCAGTGCTGAAGCCATTCATCTCACAGGCATCTACAGCATAAAATTTTCATTATATTACAGAATTTTTAACATTAACAAACTTATAACTTTTACCTCTAATCTCTTTACCACCAAAATTGACTTCATCATACTAATATAAATAATTATAAATTATTTACAGATTTTTTTAAAATATAAACTACATTGAAATAAATTATCAGAAATCTAAAAAAATATTAAAAATTCTATATTAACCCATTATAAAGATTATGGCATAATCTTGCTGGAAATTGTGCTTAGGCACTATTCAAAATTATTACACACTATCAGTACAATATATGACACACAAAGATCATCAGCTTGAATACCTTAGTGACGGAATATTTTGAGGCGGTTATTTTTTCCTGTAAAATATAAATCTGAAAAACGGTATCTGTTTCATATATGGAGCTTAACATTTCCTAACATTTAAAAAAAGTATTATGTAATTTATTTATTCATTGCAAAAACTGCATTATTTTCCATCTTATAGCCGGCTACAATAACAATTACTAAACGCATTTTTAAAATCACGATTTATCACCTTTCGAAATAAAACGATAGCATTACTCCATAGATTACAAACCATACAACACAACGCCAAACTGCAGGTTACCATATTCCAAAGATTAGCCAACAACTTTTAAACCTTTTGATATTGTTATAAATAGCATGAAATGTTGCAAATTTGAATGATAACAAAATTGAAAAAACAGTTACACGTAGACATATAAAATGGCAGACAAGCATAAATAAATCAAAACCGAGAAGCATTTGCTTAAAACTAATTTGTATAAACTAGCAGTTTGATAATATGCTTTTATTCCTAATTTTCTTACATAAGCCTCCATCCTATCGTACGAATAAAATAAAACTAGTATTTGGAAGGTAACAATTTACCCTCATACGTACGCGAACTCCATAAAAAGATACATACATCGAAAATAAATTACACTGAAATCTCTTTAATGAGGTAATTTCAATATTAAGAGATGGACAGTTAATTTATAAAAAAAAAAACAGCAATTTCAGACCCATTCAAAACAAGAAATTCAAATTCAACAAAAAGACAAAAGTATATTCGGCAACTTAAATTTGCCTAATCTCTAAAATTAGAAAATGAAGCAGAATGACAATGATCAAACATAATTTGGCAGTAATATAAATGATTTTACTAAATCTGATACGATCGTCAATATCTCTATTAATGTATAAACGTATTTGTACCTACCACGAGAGTGATAAAACACAGCATTAACAGCCGAACGCGGTAACAGAACGTTATTTACTAACAAGCTATGTAACGAACTTGATGCCAAAACACTTTTCTTCTTTTTTCCTATCAAACGTCTCCACCGAAATAAGAAATAATAATGAGATACATTCCGGTGACGTCTGAGGTCACGTGATGTAAGCACATTAGGCGGCTATGCAACACTGTAGTGAATTGTTCCTATTCTTTCCAACACATGTCTGTCATACTTACTTTGTTATACTTACATCCATAGTCTGTAAGTATAACAATGAGGTCATATGTTGAAGATATAATTTTTCTAGAAACGCCATGTGTCAAGTTGAACTTTTAGAACTGCGTGGGAGGAATCTAATATTACCTTTGTTTGATGTAATTTAGAAAATTACGTATGGCAACAGTGGAGGTTTTTAATATTTACGTTTTGTTTTATTACATTCTGAGCTACAAAACCATGACGAGTGCACGTATGTTTTTTTCCTATGCGACTTACCGGCTAGAAGGTCGACAACAAATTGAGCAGATAGGGATGCCGACTACCACAATAGCTCGCGAACTTCTATTGAGAATAATTACGACCACCTTGATCAAATGAAAGTTATTTTAAAGCGATAAGTAGATAAAAGATAGTATCGAAAAAATCGAAAGAGAACCAGCAACTCCCAAGAATGCAAAAATGATCGAAATGCTCCGAAAACAATGGGGAAACTCAAAAATTTCTCGTAATAACTCCGAAGTCTACTATTGATGAAAGTCTTGCTTACAATAATCAGGCCTCAACCAGTTATTTAAATAAGATAACTTAAAATAAAAATGCAGAATGGACTGCCGTTAAACAGGCTAAACGTTCACGTAGAGATAGCGGATCATCCATCGAATCTCAACCCTTAAGATGAGGTTTTAAGACCCTTAAGATGAGCGCAAGCTCCAGATTTGAAGCCTTAAACAATAACGAAAATCTTGACGAGGAAATGGATGAAGAATATTATGAAAACTCCATCTACTAAGAAGTATGAACGCGAGCCGCGTCGTAGAAACCGCCCCTCGTTATCACGCAGAAATAAATATGTTTGTATGTCTATGTTTGTAAGGATAAATCTTCTACGTGTCGAAAACAGAAGTACGCAAACTGCTCAAAGTCGAATAAGATGAATATTGTAAAAGTGCTACCTGGCCTTAAACACCATGGCAAGGGTATAAAGGATGAAATAGGATAATTTTTTTAAATAATTGATATAAATATGCTTGATGAAATTTTGGAATATAAAAATAAATATATAAGTTTGCTAAATCGCAAAATATTCAAGAAACAGAGAGTGCACTGTTACCTCAAAAGTGGTAATGATGGCACACTTTGGATTGTTCTTTACGATAGGAATAAAAAAAAGACAGCATGTAAATGTAAAAGAATTGTTGTCAAGTGATGGCACTGGACCTTAAATAACAAGAGATGTGATGAGTTAAAAGAGATTTTTATTTCTGACAAGTTGTCTTAAATTCGATGATAAATCAACAATACAGGGAAAATGAATATTAAAACTAATATTACAGGACATATGAATATTAAAACTAGCTTGGAGTTTAAAATATAGTTATCAAAGAACAAATTTAAAATTTGCTGTAATGAAATACATAATTGCCTTCCCACCTGACTAATATAAGCATGTAAAAATAATTTACTTTCATTTGAATGTAGTATCATTTGTATTTTGCAATAATAAGGTTAATATTTTATTTCTTAACAAATTTATTATCAATATTCACAAATTTATGTCGTTTTTCGTTCCAAAAATGGTAAAATAATGGATGGCGTAAAAATACGACGCGCGCGTGCTCATGTAAAATTGCCAATCGCGAGTGCTAGAAGGTTAAAGATGGAAAAGTTTTTCTTTAACAAACCCTGGCTAGACGCAGACTGGCGACAAACAACGTGAGACACTTTTGTTTTCAAGCCACGGAGGTGAAGATTCCAATTTTGGAAGCCGAATGTGCAGGTTGTGCAAGCTCTAAAACGTAATCTGCAAGCAATCTTTCATAAACGTAATCTGAAAGCAAACTGCAAGCAATATTTTTACAATTATCAACAATTTAAAAGCTGTTTAAGTGCGGTTAAGCCTAGTTTTTAAATAACATGGCGGACATATTTGTTTACATTTGAAACAACAGAATAGTAGGTTTGTTGCCAATCCAGAGAGACTAAGCTTCGCAACAACAAACATAAAGCCTTCATTTATTATTGCCAATTAAATCATGCTTAATCCTTTCTGGAATTTTTCCGGGGAAATAAGTGTTTAAGATTTACTTCTTAATTTTTTTTTATATAGATATTTTGAGTTTTTATGTATTTGTGCCTTGTCGCTAAGGAAGAACTGAATTAATTGAATGAAAAATACTAAATCGTCTTTGAAAAACTGCTTCTCTTTTGTTTTGCTTGCTTACATCGTTCTAGATTTCTTATAGTATTTGAATGGAACATGTGGCAACGATTAGATAGCTCTTCAAATGATATAAATTTTATGCATTCTGAGTTATAATATGAACGAAATATAACGCTGTTAAGTGAACCTAGCGCCAGAGTGTCGCTATGGTAAACAAATACAAGGAATTTTAAAGAGGTCATTTATTCTATTGTGGTTTATGCGCTATCGACGAAGTAGGTTTAATTCAATCCAATAAGTTTAAATGAAATGCAAGAAAAATGCGTATAATTTAATATTCCGCACATCAGATTTTTTTTATGAAGTAAATGTAAAATATCTTGGGAACTTAGAAAGATTCTTATTTTATTTGCAACTCTGGGTATTTTTGATCCAGGGTTTATTTGAAAACTACAAATATAAATAATGTTTCACAATTTACTTGAATAATGACAGAACTAATTAACTGAAGTAACTAATTAACTAAGTAAGAAACTTGTTTACTTGCCAAAAATAATTACAGACGTCTAAGATTTTGTCATGCAATTTTCCGCCTTTGTGTATAGCAATAAGTAAGGAACGCTGCGAGTTTATTAATTGTGCCATAATGATACTGTTTTCTTTAAAATCTAAGAAAATATCAGTATATTTTACTATTCCACTACTTATTTTTTGGGTGGGCTAAGAGCAAATAAAAAGTTGCTCCTAGAAATCTTCGTATTGAAAAAAATATAAGAGCATTAAATGAAAAAAAAAATCGGATTGTGATGAATTGATTCTTTTGGTTATATTAGTTACTGTATCTTAATTCTTTCTCTCTCAATATATATAGGAAGAATTAAAGAATTAAACAGAGACACTAGTCTTATGCTCTTGATGCTTACTTATTTTTTTTTAATTTTATTTAATTTGATTATGGCAAAACACTCAAAGGTTATCTACTAGATGCGCCTTTGGTCTTCCCAATGCGGGATAAGAAGAAGGTCGAGACAACGCCAAAAAGGTATTTTGCCCTGGGCGCCAGTTATGCTCGCTACTCCACTGTGATGCCACCCCATGCTACGGAGCTAAATTTTTATCCTACTTCTTTTCATCTTTCTATGTTTCTTTTTTTATCATTAAAATACTAAACGTCAACATTGGTGTCATTCTTAAAGTAAAGTAGAAAGACACCCCACATGGGGCCTCGGCCCCTCGAATTCTTTCGACCCCTTGAACTTAACTCTCTCGTTCCCTTAAACGTTTTAAACCCCCTTAGACTACCATATAGCATACGGAGTATAACTAGAAATGATGGAATACTGTGGAAGCCTATGGAATAATATTGCAAGATCCCAGTTGTAATTCGCCAGCAAGTAAGTAGAGCTAATTTTATTTGATGAAGTAATGCTAATCAGGAAGTAATATTCTTTCAAGTTGTGACTATTTTATGACTCCTTTTTATAAAGTTTATTTGAAGCGAAAGGCATTTGATTTTGATGAAAATTCATTTTGGTTTTGAATGATTATTACTTTGAAGAATTAACACTTTCGTTTTCGAATTTGATGCATAAATTTCTTATTTCTTGTGATGCCTATATTTTACAAGGATTGTACAATATTTTTGAGTTATTAATTTTGATATTATATGTTAACGTGAAATTCTATTTTCTATTCTTAACATATTATATGAAAATTTGTTTGAAGATAAATTTTACTATTTGTTTGAATCGTATGATCACAATTTCATTTATGATTTTTGAGTGTTTTAACATCATGGTTATTGTGTAATATACTAAGAATTAAGATTATTGCGAAGAATAAGAAACATTAAGAATATATTTTGGTATGCTAATTTCTGAAAACAAATAAATAATATTTGACGAAATCGAAACATACATATTTTGTGAATTTCAATTTGGTAAAAACGAAACTGATAAATAATGGCTACACTTAACGATTATCCCAACATTGCATGGTCATTAAAAACCGCCAGTACCAAGCATATCAAGCTTTTACATCGTTTAGTTTTTGGCTCAGATGGTGATCGGCAGAATCGGGCTAGATTACGCAATTTTTCTGGTTTTCCCAAACCATTTAACTTTGAAGTTATGAAACAAAAAATTATAAAAGAATTTTGTCTCACAGATTTAATTGTCATATGTAAGTTACTGTATTTAGAATTTTCCACCGATATTGAAAAGTGTGCTGACACCGTCCGATGAATTTTTCCTCAAAAATGGACTTCTCTATAAACTCCATTAGGATACAGAACTTTTAGTTGTTCCACAGCTCATGCAGAAAGATATAATATTAAACGCAGACTCACAGGGTCATTTTGCTTCACAAAAAGTGGAATCAATCGTGCCTCGTGAATTCTTCATACCTCAACTTGAAAAGGTGGACCAGAAAATTATTCCAAATTGCATCCCTTTCATCTTATCCACACGCAAATTTGGTAAACAAGGACTCCTTCATCCAATCCCCAAAGGTGATTCACCCCTCGAATTTTGCCACTGCGACTTTCTCGGACCTTTACCTTCGACAAAAAAAAATGTTATAAATATCTTTTTACTGTCATTGATGCCTTTTCCAAGTTTGTCTGGATCTATCCCGTAAAATCTACATCTTCTGCAGACCCATTGGAAAAGTTATCCCTGCAACAAACTACATTTGGCAATCCTACAAGAATCATCACAGACAAAGGTAGTGCTTTCACATTTTCCGAATTCCAAAA